GGCCTGACCTCAGATCAGTGTTCTTACACAGGGGTGCCTGATAAATACGGACCTCTGTGTGTAATAAATACTCTGCTCCTGTCTCACTGGGTCACATCCACAGAGACACACAAGCATCTGGATTTACTCTGGTTAGGAAGCCAAAACATGATTTCTGAGAAGCCATCGTAACTTTTTAGAATAGCGTCTAGATTGATAGAGAGAAAGAGAGAGAGAGAGAGAGAGAGACAGATCACGGTGGAAACTGGAGGACAGACACAGAGCCAACAGCAACAACAGCTCACTCATCTCTCTCACCCCCTCCTCTGAGGTGGAGTGAGATCACCGATGTATTCAGAGGTGGAGCAAGAACAAAACCTCTGTACCTCTACTCAGGGCTCGGCAATATGATGATATTTTATCATTATCATGATAAATTGTATCAAAACAAGCTTTTCTGAGCTTATCATGGATATTGTCAGTATTTAAAGAACACTAAATACATGCTTTATTACACAGTGAGCATAATTAGGCCTGTTTAATTGGATTTAGTTCAGTGCGGTTTGTAAAATGTTTGTAAAAACACATTGGAGTCATTATAGGAATTTTTATATATGGCAATAAAGGCTCTATTTAGTCTCTTAAACCTTTCATCGTGATGTGTATCATATACCATGAAAATGTTTTGCTATAGACGTGTCACTGACTGTGAGTATGACTTACAGCCTGACTAATGCATTCCAGTCAGTTGTAAAATATTTATTAAAGTCTGTTACAAGCTTCAAATAAAAGATCTACTGCCTTCTACAAGCCACAGACGTCTGTGTTGAATCTAGAACGGCCAGAAAACGTGGCTGTGAATCGCTGTCAGTTTAGCTTGAACTACCAGGATGTAGGAAATGTACATGTTAAATAGTACAACCCTGAGCAGCCCAACATGTTCTGAAAACTACTTCACATGTTGTTTTAAAAGTTGTTCCTTCTGGTGTAGAGCCGTGGTGCAGTGTGTGCTGATAGTGCCCCCAGCTGGAGAAACTTCAGACTGCAAATAATTTCTAAAGTCACGTTCATGTAGTTTAAAATTTAAAAATGAGCTGTTGTCTGTTGTTCTGCTGGAGTCAGTCAGGAATTAAATCCCTTTGGAAAATTATTATTTCACAATTTTCATAATTTAACTGATAATTTAAAGGTTTAAGGAAAATATTGCAAATTTGTCTCAAATCAAACTTTGGGAAACCCACAGCAGAGACAGTGAGGAATGAACCGTAACCTAACGGCTTTTTAAGGCATCATAACCCAACGTTTTAAGAGGAAACATAAATAAAATATTAAGTTCTCATATTATTTAATATTATTTTGACCTTTTTTCTGATCCTGTTGTCTAGTCCTCAAACGCGCTAGTTCTCTGTCAGTTTCCCACCATGGTGATTATCATCATATCGCCTTTTAAGCACTTTCATTGGGTTATTTAACCATCATTGATGATATCTGATCACATCACCCTTTCGCCAGGCCTAACAGCATCCCACAGGGGCACTGCTAGAAATTCGCATGATTGTAGAGGTGCTTTTTCTTGTCCTCTCAGAAAAGTAATTCTGGACTATTTCACTTAGAATGAAATGTTCACACAAAATCACACACAGTTTATATGAATTATAATTATGTATGGGATGTTTTTATGACCACAAAAATGTATTAGGCAACAACATATAAACCAGTTCTACTTGGAATCTCTACTTCCTTGGAAAACGTGATTGTTTCGCTGGTGTTCAGCAGCGGCATTTCGTCCAACATGGACAAAAAGTCCAGGATGTTCACTGAAGCGCTGATCTGGCTTATAAACCTTCCATTATGAACAACTGGAAAATGTGTGCTTGTAGTCTAAGACACTTCTTACCAAAGTACCATGCAGATAGGATTCACACCAGCAGGCACACACACACACACACACACTCACACACACACACACACACTCACACACACTCACACACACACACACACACTCCTAGGTTTCTATACCTTATCTGGACGTGAGACGATACATCCACTAGCAAAGTGTGTCGTTAAAAAAAAACACACTTCCAAAAGTTTAGAATCACCATTCAGAAGTTTGGGTTTGCTGATGAACGTCTGATGATTCTAATACGATGCTAAAACTCTATAGTGTCACAGATTTCAACTCATTAGTTCTAAGCTAATTAGAAGAAGACAAGAAGACATTTTCAAAGTGTGCAGAACAGACGAGCGATGAACAGAGCTGTAAATGGCTCATTAGTGACTGTGAAAGCTGTCTAACACTAACAATGCTATAATTAAAGAAATATCCAGAACACATCATATCTGAAATGGGCTCATCAAATCTCAGGCAGGTAGGTTATCATGAAATCACTACAAATAGTAATTATAAATGACAGTTATTAGTTACAGTTATTACAGAGTATTATTTATCATTTAATACCTTGTTCAGTTTTCCCAAAACCACATTAAAGGTGTGTCTAGTTTACAGTATTTTGGTGTCTAGTTTACAGTATTTTAATCTACTCTGCAAGGATGTGCAGCCGTCAGGCTGTTATTAAGAAAAGGAAACAGACAAAACATTAGAAAATGTGTTCTGCATCACTGAAAGTGGAGGTCTGAGATGTGACGTGAGGTTTAGTGGACTGATGAGTCGAAATCTGAGAACACAGGAGGTACAAAAGGCAGCATGAACAGCACTGAAACAGAGAGAGACTCTCGTCTACAACCTTCAGTTAATCACGTAGAATCAGTGCCCATCTGGGGACGTATTACAGCATGAAGTTGGTCATTTGCATCATGAGTGCTGAGCGGTACAAACAAATGTAAACACAACATGCAAAATCCTCTGAAAACATTGACTTAGAATAAATTCGTTGTTGAACAGAATAAAGACCCCAGGCACACTGCTGAGACCACCTAAACATGCCTATCAACTGCTGGTACTTAATAATAACGTGTTCCATATGAATTACATATATGTACAGTTATACGCAAAAGTTTGAACCCGAGTATCTAAACAGTGATTAATCACATACTAAGTATTGAAACCTGGATTAATCGCAGCCTGAATATCCAAACCTGGATTAATCGCAGCCTGAATATCCAAACCTGGATTAATCGCAGCCTGAATATCTAAACTCCTTTGTGTTATTAAGGCTCAGCAGGAAACACTTGTTTGGTCTGTCTGCGCTGAACTGTGGTGGACTGGGTCACAGCTGTAGTGTGGATTGTTACTGAGTTAGAAGAACAGCGTGATGGAAGAGCTCAGTCCAGTACGTTTTTAAAGCAGGTCTGGACGCTGGTCCACAGTGGGAGGTCATGCTAATGTTAGGTTTGATATTGAAAATAATTGAAGTGAAAAAGTCTTGTTTTTATTCGAGCGAGCTGAAAGGAGGCGGAGAAATCGGCCACAATGGGCTTTTATACTGCGAGCCTCTCTGAGAAAAACATTTGGGCCAAGAGGAGATAATAAAAAAGAGAAAAGAAGAAAAATACAATCTAAAACAACAGAACCATCAGCTCAGACCATAAAAACAGCCCCAATGGCGGAGGAAAGGACGGGTAAACAGACTGCCTCGGGCACATTTTTGAGCCAGTTTTGTGATTTGTCATGTGAGGCAGACTGTGGGAGGTTGAATAGGAGGAAGTGGCACACGTTTTCCTCTCCGATAGAGGGGAATTAATTTTTAAGCCTTGAAAAACATAAGAGTGAAAGGGTAACGACTGTTATACGAGCTCTAGATCGTATCTCCAAACTCACTAAGCTTAAAAAATATGTGTGATAAGGTCTGCTTCCTTGTTTGACCCGGGTATCAAAACATGTCTCACATCATTAGAAACACACTCAGTAATAATAATCATATTTATTACACCCATATAACTACCACTGTGCACAACCTACATATCATAACACGCACTGACACCGATGTTTTCCAAGAAACGCAGACTGTTAGGCAGCGCCGGATGAGTAAATCTGATTAGATACGAGTCGTTCCATTAGAATGGAGCCAAATGTGAAATGTTTTCATGTTTTTTTGGACAGGAATCATTCGTGAAGTGTTCCTAAACAAACCACCAACTGCCCTGTTGTCCTTCTGTTAGACCTTCTAATGTCAGCTCTTCAACAGTAAGTTAGAGGGATTCACCAAAATGTGTGCCACAGAAATATTTTGGCCGAAAATAAAAGAGATGTTTAATCTCAGTGTGATTATCCTGGATAAATAAAATGAAAACAAAAAATGAATAAATAAAAATTTAAAAATGATCAAAAGCGGCACTTTGGTTTAAAACTTTGGTCAAAAAAACAAATGATTAAACGGGACTAAAACAAAGTACTGCATAATGTTATAACTGTAATAAAAAGTTTATTTTATGTAAACTGTTTTTATTCATTGTCAGCTCAGTTTTGTCCCGTTAAAAGTATGTTGATTTAAAAGCATGAATAAAATGACAGTTTCAGTCTTTCAGTCTTTTAGTTTTCAGGTGTGACATGAATTTGGGTTCTGTTTTTGGCCAGAAAATTTCATTTCTGTATTGCCGAGGAATTTTCATTTCAGTTTTGGATTCAGCCAGAAAATTCCATATTGGTTTCAGCCAGGAATTTTCTGTTGGTAATGGCCATTTTCATTTGAATTCTGGTTTTGGCCAGGAATTTTAATTTCAGTTTCTGTATTGGCCAGAAAATTAAATTTGATTTTTGGGGTCAGGCAGGAATTATCATATATATCATCATAGCAGTTTCAGACATACATTTTTTAAGAACATTGCTAAAAATGTATAAATTTGTATGTTTTGTGCGATGAGGTGGACATCATGACAACTTATCAAACCAGTGAAATCTTTTGATCGCGGCAATGATTTGTTGAGAATGTAACTAATGATTAGTAATATTTTAGACGGAACTTGACTGTCTGTACAGACGTGTAAAAATGCCTGCTTTGCTGTTTATTGTGGCAGCTTCCAAACAAAACGCTCTAAATGTAAAGCAGTGGTTTTTGACTCACTCTCGTTGTAATGCAGACCCAGAGTGAGGATGCAGATGAATAAAGCCAGAGAGAGAAAACACACCACCACCACCAGCTTCCTCTCAGCATGACTTCGCCTAGTCCAGCACTGGGGGCCATGACCACGCTGCCGCACCACCTGAAACACACACACACTTGTTATTATATCTTGTCAGGAAGTGGAGTCACGTACATGTACATATACGATACTGCAGACGACACCCAGGTATACAGGTCCATTCCTTCTGATGATCAAGGCTCTGCAGACAGACTGACCAGCCGTGTGTCAGATATTTCTCAGTGGATGTCGCAAAATTTTCTACAATCACAAAAAAACTGAAATACTGATCGCTGGTACAGAAACTCGGAGAAACTGCTTCATGAGAAACTTTTTTATCTTCATCTACCTGCAGTAGAAACCTGGGTGTGACCTGAGACTCTGAGCTCTGTTTAATCCGCATGTAAACACTAAAGGTGCTTTTATCATGTGAGAAAATCACTAAAGTTCAGCGTTTTCTCTCTCAGAGTGACGCAGAGAAACTCGTTCATGCATTTGTTCAGCAGAGTTGATCACTGTAATGATCTTCTTACTGAACTTCCTAAGAAAACAATACATCCTTTACAACTCGTACAAAACGCAGCAGCATCCTAACAAAAACTAACCTTGCTTATATGATTTTTACAGAAAATGTCTAATATTGTATTTATTGCAAGGTCTCAATTGAAGTCCTTAAAACCATTATTTAATGAATTAAAGCCATTAAAGAATTAATATCTGTATTTTTTTTTATTTTTGGCTTGTATTTTAAAGTATTACAGTACGACTCTCATTTTTTTCATTTTTAGGTTCTGGAGGGCAATAAAAGGGTTACATTCTTCAAACATTGAGCAGAAAATTGCCCAATAAGGAACTGTTCTGCTCCATGGTATCTAGATAGATATAAATAGGCAAGCTCTCCTATTGGTTAGGACTTCAAGAACTGAAGAGACAGCGATGAAAACGAGGTTTGTTTACAATGAAGTGACGTTCAGGCTGGGCAGAAAATTATACAGCCAAAAGATTTGGTGGATGACCCAGTGAATAACTCTACAATGGAGCTGATCTTTGAGTAAAGGAGATTTGCCTTTAGGGCTTAGTAAAACAAACACACCACACACCCCGGATTTACCGTCTCCTGTGACTTATATGCTGCTACAGTGCTGCGCTCAGGTGTGACTGTGTTGTATTAGATGTTTTGTTGGCTACTGGATTGTTTTGGTGTTATGAGATCCCACACTGGACAATGAGGACAGGATATGATTGATACGCTGAACCACAGTGTTGAACCTCTCCACCACAAACGCCTTCTATTATTATCTTTTCTCTGACCTGGTTGAGCTGAAACCAAACTAAACACTGCATTAGAATTACAGTAACAAAGATAAGATACAGATAACAGAGCTATCACTGATCCAGCAAACACAGTAAAACATTTTTTTTGCGAAATACTCACTTAAAAACTAATTTATACAGCATATTAGCCAATATGTTTGAGTGTGCTTTTTGATTTTATTTGATTTGTTGCTGTAGGGATAACAAAGGAAAGCTGAAATCTAAAAGGCTGAGATCTCCCGCTGTGTCCCAAACCGCATACTAGCACACTAAACAGTGTGTGAAAACAGTGAAGTGCCACAGATTTTTTAGAGGAGAACTGCCACTCAGTAACATCTTCTGGGTTTGTTAGCCGCTAGAGGGCGCTCCCGAGCGAGTCCAAAATGAATAGGTTAATATGGAGCAACATAGTTCATAAATGCTTAAACATTTGTATGTAGAACAACACATTTATTTCATAATAAAGCACAAAACCATAAAATGCTATTATATTTGTGAGCGCTTTTGAACTGTTATAGGACTTCATAAGACGCCTCATGTGTTCATGATGGCAATGAATGCAAACCGCTTCACTCAGCCAATGAGCTGCTTTGCTCTCCAACCAAGCAGCAAGCAGTTTGCTGTAGAAAAAAAGGAACCAATCAAATCAATTTTCTTTATTTTTTTTAGTGAAATACATCTTTCTACCGTCTAAAATTGAAGGAAGGTCCTGGAGGAGTAATTAGAAACAATTAAGTTTCATTATTAGCCGTTTAGCTCAATTCACCCCACAATCATTGAGGACTCGCTCACAGACGCCCTCTGGTGTCTTGCAGTCATGTTTCTGATAACGGGGGAAACAGGAAGTGGCCAGGCTTCTCTTACATCTCAACAAACACACAGAATGACGTATTTACTGGGGAAAACTGGACGTCTACAAATGTCTCTGTGACACGATGTTCGCTTCTTATTCACCAGCTTCTTCTTTGAAGTTTTGTATGTGTATAAAACTCGTAAATGTAACTGCTGCACCATTTAAGGTGGAATGGAACATTTGAAAACGAAGCTGATGAAGAGACTCCATCTTAAATGATGTTCAATACTTAATTTTCTGCACTTGCTGTGCAGGTTATACAGATACAGTCTGCAGTGTGATTTCTATATAGTTTCTATATAGTGATTCAGATGTTCATATGTAGGTTATGGTGATCAGAGTGATTAGGGGACTATTTCAGTCACAGCTTGCCTACCAAAATCGTGGTGGGGCGTTCTTAATGATGTAATGGAATGTTATGGATCAGCTAGAAATTGTAGGGTATAAACTTTCATTACTTGTTAGCTACATTAGCCTCGTAGCTCCAGTGCAAAACTGAAGAAATAAACTTTCAAAGACGCCAAACAGATCTTGGAATTTGTAAAAATCTGTTTGACTAGAACATTAAGATCAACTGAGAACGGAGCCTAAAACTATTGTAGACTGTAGCATTAGTTTTCAGTTTGTATCTGGAAAATTCTTCACATTCCTCAGCATAAAGGCTTCTACTGAAGATGACTCTGTTGGTGGGGATCTGTAGGGATTTTGGTTTGTTGTGAGTGGAACAGCAGCGTTAACCATTACACTGGGTTGGATTAACATGGCCTTAAATTACACCGACCCATGGCACCACCGCAGGGTGAAGGAACTTAAGTCTCAGCTTGTATACGAGATACTGTTCCCTGTTATTTACTCACAACCAGATCTCCCTGCAGAAACGTAGTTTAAATGTCTGGACGTCTAGAGTTATTATTGTCATCTTGCTGTAAATCTAATTTACATATTTAAATGTAGTTGTATAATGACATACATAGTTAGTTTTGTAATTAATTACATTCACATTTCATTTGATTCACTTTTTTTTATCTCCTACTTACAAACACAAACGCGCTACAGGTTAAAAGTTTACAGTCTGCACTTTCAACAGAATTTCTCCACTTCTCTGAGCTGGGAGAACAAATAATAAACAAAAGAAGAGGCAACGTAAGGCATGTACGCCATGGAGGGCCAGACTAGGTATGAGTGTGATTTGTAGGTATCAGGTTTATGTAATAATAATTTAGGGAGGCTTAAGGACGTTTGATTTAAATGAGCTACTCTGCTTAGTGAGAAAACTGCAGGCAAATCCAGATAAATTACCTTTAACCTTTATAATACAGAGTCATTTCCTCAGCTCGGCTCTCTGTAAGCCTGCGCAGTTCAAAAAGCCAGACAAAATGGCAGCAGGGATGGGAGTATGTTCTGTTTCAGTGTCTGCTGGATTATTTGAGGTTTCTTTATGTGGTTTCAATAGACGTTTCAATAAAGAATGTTCAGGACACTTAATACCTCAGATGAACCTGAGAAAATATGAGAAGAACGGCTCGGGATAGTAAGGCTCAGGTTTTCAACAAAAGAAATAAAACCAAAGACAAGAAGGAGAGAAAGCGCGAGAGAAAAGGCGCCTCAGCACTTCAGCAAGAAGTTAAAAGCTACAGATGTTTGCACTGAAAATCCAACCTGCAAAACCTCAAAATAACTTCAGCCTATGTCTGAGCGAATTGGGGAAAATATCGAATTGTGATTTTTTCAGCCTATATTGTGACTGTGATTAAACTGTGATTACATTCTACACTCTAAGAATAAAAGGTACTAAACTGCCACAGGGCCGAATCCCCCCTCGTCACTGGGGTGGTGCCCCTAAGGTAGGGATGCATCGAGAATAAGTACAAGTGTGTTGTTTACGTACTTACAGATACCGAGTCCAATAAAACACAGAGAAAACTTGGAATTCAGCAGAATTAAGTGTAAATGAGTGCAGTGTACTTTAACAGTTAAGCTGATATTTAATGATGTACGTTAGCCAGACATGCTACATTAGTAATGCTGGGTCGAGTAGCGCTGCAGTGCAGAACAGCAGGTTTCTTCCACATCAGAAAACACTTCTGTGCAGCTGTAAGTAAAGTACGTTAATAGTTTTGATTCTTGATCCTCATTAGTCTCTTCCAACAATAGTCTCTGTAGCAGAGCGACAGCAGGAATCACACATCGAATCACAATGAGCTGCAGCTGAACGGCCTCTGAATCCAGACATCGTGTGATTTTAGAAATTATGTTTTCCTATGTGAAACACAGCCCTTACACTGCCAGAAATAAAGGTAGTGAACCCTCAAGGCTCCATCTCAGTACCTTTAGTCAGGGAACATAACTGAACCATAATCCACTGAAATGATATGTTCTGAGCTGTACTGACTCCACACACCCCGTCTCGTCTCCAGGCTTTTATTTTACTGTTCTGTTTAAAACATTCGGTTATGAAAAGGTACAAATACGAACTTTTCACCTGGAAAAACTTATTTAAGGTTCACAATCAGACCTTAAAACCACTGTTGGAGCTTTGAGGGAACATTTACACTGTTTGTTCCTTGATGAACAAAAATGTACCTGAACAGAACCTTCATTTCTGACAGTGTACAGACACTCTGTTACACCTGAGTACTGAACAAACATGCTGAGAAACTGAAAATCAAAATAATTACTTATTGCCTTGGTTTTTACTTATTATATTGTAATAATATCTTATTTTCACAAAGAGATTATGCATTATTGTTAAAATAATCACATTTTTCTTTGTAAGTTTTTAAACATTTTATTAATCATTAAAATGATTAATCATATTAATCATTACTCACCACTGCCCTCTGAAGGTGAGGACCTATGAGGTGTCTCAATAAATGTTTTCTGCTTTCTCTTATTTGCCTCAACGTAGTGGATA